TTTTTTTTAACAATAAACCTTGTCTGAGACTTGGCGGAACACTGTGCAGGTGAAGTAGTGTTGGGTAGGTGTCAATTTCACATGTGATGTCAGCATATGAAGACATAGTGTGGTCAGACCCATGCTCAGCCGAAATCTGTGTTTTCGAAGACAAAAACATGTCTGAGTTGGGAGGACACTGGGCAGGTGAATTAGAGTTGACCGCATATGAAGAGATTGTGTTGGCAAACCTATGCTCAGCCGAAGTCAGTGTTTTTAAAAGCCACAAACCTCTGAGGTGTGGCGTGTTTTTTAATGTGGGGTCTGGTTATTTTGTGATGATAAGTGACAGACGTGATGTCATTTATGGATGACCCGCGAAACCCACAGTTATCTACCTAGATAACGGGTAGTCTAGTATACTTCTAAAACTTAAGTTTCTTTATGTGAATTTTTTTTTTTAATTTTTTTTTTGTTTGTCCGTTTGTTTACAGGAGAGAATCTGCACTATGTGTAGAGCTGTACATTACGTAATTAGGTAGAGAACAGCTTTCTTTTTTAAATAAACTGTTAATCACAAATTAATTTAAAGACGTTAATTAATGTATTGACATATTCATTGGTAGATTAACCACATTAATTATAAATTTTCAGAACAATGACTTTACTTATAGTGACGTCACATGATTTATTTACTTTTAATAATATTAATGGCGGCTTCCGTCGAAGATTTTGGTGCCCATTCAAAAGTTTAACGCGTTATAAAGCAAATTTTCTATTGGCTATAGCTTTAACGATACGTCCGTTTGCTATTTTTATTAGGTTCCAACACTATTTACAGTTATCAACTTTTATTTTTATTTTAGTATACAATAAATTTCTCTAAATCTAGAATCTACTAATCAGCTTTCGAGGGAAGGAAACGTTAAAGATCTAGAATAAAAGTAAAATATATCAGTAGTTCTATGAGCCTAGCTAGCTAAGATGATGTGTATTAGGTTCCCATGAGGGAGGCATGGGTTCGAGACACATGTTATTTTTTTTTTCCAATTTGTTTTTTTTCTTTTAGATGTGAATGATAAACTTGCTTATCAGAACTTGGCGGGATACATGGCAGGTGAAGTAGAGTTCATCTATTTCTGTGTCCTCAGAATATGAAGGGATAGTGTGGTCAGAGCCATGCTCGGCCGGAATAGTTTTTTTAAACGATAAAAACATGTAGTCTGAGACTTGGCGAGACACTGGGAAGGTAAAGTAGAGTTGGTAGGTCACCTGTGACGTCAGCATATGAAGGGATAGTGTGGACAGACCCATGCTCATCCGAAATCGGTGTTTTTAAAAGACAAAAAGGTCTTTTTGAATGTGGGGTCGGGTTATTTGTTATGATAAGTGAAAGACGTGATGTCATTTATGGATGACCCCCAAAGCCCACAGTTATCTAATTATAACTGGTAGTCTAGTTATTTATATAAATGCACCTTTGCTCTGATTTTGACCTTTACAGACGTTAATTTATTTTGCAGTGACCGCAAAGATACGAAAATTGAAAATAGCGCAAGGTAACTCATTCTCTTTAGATCATGGGTTCCCAAACTGGGGTTCGCGACCCTCAGGGGGTCGCAAAGGGCTTTCTGTGGGTCGCTTACTGATAGACTAAACCCTAGCAATGGAAAAAATGTAGAAAAATATTTGAAATTCGGCTTTACTTACATCACAGACAACGGAATAGAGAATAAACAATGTGTACTGTTGTTCGTAGTCATGACTCTACGCAACCTTCAAAGTTAAAACGTCATTTTAAATCAAGTCATTCGGAACACACCAAAAAAAGATATGGAGTTCTCTCCTCGGCATGAAGCTGGTTTCAAACGTCAGAGACTTTATCGAACAGGAAGGTTTCACCAAGAAAACACAGTATTATATGTAGTCGCATTAGAAATTGCCAAGCAAAACTCACACAATAGGAGAAAATCTCATCAAACCATGTCTGTTGGAGATGGTAAAACTAATTCTTGGGGATTCCAGTGTAGTAAAGATGCAACAAATATCTCTGTTTAATAATACCATTCAAATGCATATAGCAGACATGTCCGTTTCTTAAAATGTTATTGTCTAATGCTGCCCATGTAATACCATTTATGTGATAAGTTGATTAGTAAGCTCTGTTTTTACCTTGTACAAAAGATAATATATATTCTACTTTATTTGTCCACACTGTTTACTGTCGTGTTTGCATTATGTATTCGCCATGACTCTAGATTTTAATATTTTGTAATCTAGACTTATGATAAATGTTTTTCTTGACAAGTACTTTAGTCTGAAAATATTGATGACACAGTTACTGGTAGAGGTCCTATGTTCCGAAAGGAGCAAAGATAACTAAGTCAAATAAGTCAGTCAGTTACTGTTCCTAGTTGAAAAATGATACAAAATAGACATAGTTGATAGAGAAAAAAAACTATAAGGGAAGATTTTTGCTGGGATATGCCTAATTTATTTTAAATATTTTAATTATTTGTGCACAGTTTTAGATGCGTGAGTCGATGATTATTTTGTATTTGATACATAATTTCAACTGCTTCCAACTCACTACTGCTCCACAAAGGCTTAACTTGACACTCATAAATATCATAATCATACAAATGCTGCTAAAACACTATTAATAAGCCAATAATTAAATGTTCCATTTTTTTTATACTTCATAAGCTTATATCGTTGTGGTGTTGTAGCTATGAAATAAGATATAAAACTAATTCATGGGAATTGTGTAGAATTGAAGTGTAGAATTGAATGATAATAAAAATTCTCACTAGCTTTTATTTCAGTGTTTAAGTTTAGTATTTATATTTCAGGCTTTATTGCTGTATTGGTTTAAGATGATTCATTTCACGCAAGGAAATGTCCCTCAAGTTTATCAGAATTTTGTTTATGTCATCATGCTTGGTTCGATCCATACCAGGGGCGGAACTACCATACCGCCAGACCCCGCAATGCGGGGGGGCCCAGGACGTTTAGGGGCCCAGTTCCGACCAAAAAACAATGAATTTTTTTTCAAAAATTATGTTTTTCATGCATCTTGAAAGTGGTTTTGTAAAAAAAAAAAAAAACAAAAAAAAAACAGGTCTACTATAGCAGAGATTGTTGCGTAGAAAAATATTTTAAAATCTACAAGAGCTATAGTTTGAAAGGTACTACACTACTTGCATGACTTACTGTCCTTCTTTAAAATAGGGATGCCCACGAAGCTCATTTAAATAGTTTTGTACTGTGTATATTAAAAAGCAATTGATTCTCTGAATTGTTACTTAAATAAGACGTACTATATAAAAGTATAGCTATAAAAATCAATGTTTTCAAAATTGATATTATAAAAGCCGAAAATGAAAAAAATAAACATAACGCGAGAAACCATTCACGAATCAAGCTAACGTCTTTATATATTTTTTACCAGTGTATTTAACTCCACTATAGCTTGGTCTAAATTTTTTCTAGTTTGTTCTCTCAGAATGGTTAAAAAAGAATGATGAAAAAAAAAAAAAAAAAAAAAAAAAAAAAAGAATGGTTATATATTGCAATGAAGTAGACTAAATAACTCATTTAGGATATAGATTTTATATATATATATATATATATATATATAGGGGGGCCCTGGTTTTTTCTTTGCGGGGGAGCCTTTGATTTCTAGTTCCGCCACTGATCCATACCATACACAATTAAAATATGCACTGTAAAACGCTTTTCCGTTTTGTTCTTAAAGAGCTATATATAAAGAGTTGTATAGAGTATAATACATTTTCTTGATGTTTATAGGTTGCATACTGTAACATGTAGTTATGGGAGGCAAAACATGACAGACACTTCAATGAGATTAAACAGAATGTTATGACATTATATGACATTCGTTATGGTAATATCTCCCATACCCTGACTTTACCGTTTCATGAGATATATAAAATGTTGCCACGTTAAAATTCTTTGGCCGCCATTATGTATTGTATCACGTGGTACCGCAACTTATTGAACCAGCTCCCTAACATTACACTGAATGTCATGTCTCACCTTTAGATTAAGAAATAAGTCTAGGAGTGGTGGTAAGAGTAAGAAGCTATAATCTAGTTAGAAAACAAGCTGTAAGCGCGCCTTGCAGTCCCCTCTCTTCCTCTCTAGGAAGTCAGGTGAGCTGTGGTTCAAGCTAAATGTTTACAATCGTAGAGCCGGGTTTAGTGACGGCTATTAGGGGCAGATAATGTAGTTTGAAACGATTTTAAAATTATGAGAGTTAACTAAGAGGAGTTTGCTTTCAATGGGGGTGGGGTGGGGGAAGAAGGGGGGTGGGGGTGGGGGAAGGAGGGGGTATCGTCCTTAACAAACATCTGATAGTGTTTTAAAGCAAATATTTTCAGTGGCAGCATTGGTACTGTCGAATTCACAAATTATGAATTACTGAAAAGTAGAAAATAAAACAACTAAATAGCGGCGTATGATAATTAATATTTAGTGATATTTTAGTGATATAAATAGTAGTACATTAATATTTTTAAAGAAAGTATTTTTTTTTATATTTAAAGTAACCGCAGATTTATTCTATTTTTAAAAAGTATTTTATATTTAATAAAATTTTTATTATTTTCTTCTTTTTAATGTATTTATAAAAGCTGGTAATTATAAAAGTTTTAATGTATTTATTATTATATAATTATCCCCCCTCCTGCCCTTTCATGAATTACTTTATTCATTCTCAAATTACTCGCCAATTAGATATCAAATGATTAAAGGGACATAACCCGTTTGGATTAACACATATAAAATGTCACCTATTATATCCCAGGTATCAACACTACAGATGCACGTATGTAGATTAAAACTTACAAATACTAAAGAAAGTAGTACCTAAACATTATTCGTTGATACAAATAGTATTATCCATTGTGCATATCAATTGTGTATAATTGTAACACATTGTAAGACTTTATCGTTTAAAATTATCAGCGCCTCATCAGTTTTTTTAGTACGGCAGTTATCTAGAACCTCATGTTGAGTTTCAAGCAATAAAAGCAGCTGTGGATGGTCTCCTTGTACTTGCTGCTCATGCTGTAGTAGATGACGATGTTGGCGCTGGAACTGACGGTCTCCATCAGGTACGACAGACAGCTGACGACCAGGAACACGTCAAAGTACAGCCCGTACGCCCCCAGCTCCGGCACCAGCCCAGAAGCGGTTAGAACCGCCGACTGCGGGATGAGGCACACGATGAAAACCACGGCGACCACCGACAGCATCATGACGACCCTCTTTTCTTTTTTTGTGATCTGTTTGTTGTCAGATTTAGAGTTGCAAGACTGACGCCAGAGGGATTGTTTCTTCAATGTCGCCGCTATTGTGACGGTGCTTGTTATGATGATGATGAAAGTAAGATAAGGGAGGAACAAATCGGTTATCAAGTAAGATATATCAAAAACGTATTTATTATTTTCACGAAAAACCGCGGCAAGAATAGATTTATTTGTTAGAGGGTTAAATACCCAGTCTAAATAAGCGGCGTAATATGTTGGGAAAAGATCAAGTAGAAGAACAAGGAAGATGGTGATGACGATGAATGTGGAGACGTTTTTGGTGATGATGCGTTTGACTTTAAGCGGCGCAAGAACACACAGACATCTCTCGAACGAGGCGAAGGCCGTGATGAAGCCACACACACGGATGAAGTAGTTGTGGGGGTTGAACCCTATCATGAACATAATGTCGATGGCTTGGAAGGGGAGATCAGCGTTGAGGAACCACGGGTTGACCACCAACGCGTAGAACATGCTGGTGACCAGCGCCCCGATGTCGCTGACCGCTAGAGCCGTCAGTTTGATGTTGACGGTGTCTTCATAGCCCAGCTTGTAGAAGACGATGATGTTGACGACGTTGGCGATGATGCCGAGCACGCCGATGAACTCGGAGCAGACGAGATTTAACACCATAAAGGTTTCTAGCAGACGTGGAGGCAGGAGATTGCTGGCGCCAAAAGTTGAGACTATCAAAGTCTGTGTGGACGAGACTGCTATATCCTCCGTCCCATTTTCATAAAACTCAATCAACCTTGTAACTCTAATATAACTTCCAGATATATTACCAACGCTCAACGAATCAAGCAAAGACATGATCGCTTCAAATCTTTTCCTTAAACACAGCTGTTCGTTTTTATAATATTCACAAGAATGCTTTTTTTATTTACATACACAAAATTTCTAGTAAAATATCGACCCGGATTTTTTATAAAAATTAGTGTATGATAAACTATAATTAAAAATCAATTCTTCGATTCAGGCCAATTATCATGGTGACAGGACTCTGATGTTAAAGATCTCTGCAATTATGCAGTTCGGGAAAGAAAAAAAATAACTCTCTCATTATTATACTGAACATTTCATTGTGCTTGAGAAACTCCAACCCTATAGTTCTGCCAATACATCATCAATTTATTTAATTACACACTGTCTAAGGAACTAATGACTGCCGCCATACTTTGATAATTATCCCTGTATGACGAGAGTGCGTACAAGTAACGTTTTGTTTCATTTTAATTATTAAAATAATTATTGTTTCTTTATCGCGAATCGATTATTCCTGTGTAGTTGATAATTAAAGCATACTTTTAAAACAAATATTAACCGATTGAGTTACGGTTTATGATTATCATCATCATCTTCTTTTCCCGTTCGTGCCCAAGACACTCGGGGAAAGTGAAGTAGAGTATACCTGTTTCAGGGACCTCGGCATGTGAAGGGATAGTGTGGTCAGCACTAAGACAACCTGGGAGCTGTCCTACGTTTTACTGACTTAAACCCGGATTCAAACTCGGGACTTTTGGGTCAGTCCGAACGGTTAATGATAATAGTCGTTCATTTGAATCTAGTAAAATTTTTGCATTTTTTATTGTTGGTTATAGATCTAACATTAAATTTGGACAGTTTGATTTTGAAATGTGATATTTGCTATTGCTTGTGTTAACATGTAAATAAAACGTGTTTAGCTAAACATTCTCTAATAATACACGTTTATACCTGCTAAGAGAGAGAGAGATTGGTACCTATCTCACGTCAGGGAAAGTATAGGCGGCTGGACATAGTCTGACCACATCATCCCTTCACTGAAACAGGGGAACTCTACTTCACATGCCTCATAGACCGTCAGGTTGGGAAAGGGAACTTTACTATCTGCTAATACAAAAGTGTTCTTGTGTAGAAATAAACCATTCTGTTTTATTCTTACAGCTGTGCTACATAGATAACAATCAACTTAGTCAGGTTTTAATCCAGACTGCTGCTTGCACAACACAATTTTTTTTTCAGTAATACTAATTTATTTGATAGTTTTACACAGCATCAAAGACATGAAAATCAATTGCATATATAATAATCAAAGGAAGAAAAATAAATGGCATAAGAACTAGACTAAAATAAGGTGTGCAAACTCGGTTTCTCTTGACTGCTTAGTTTACTGTGTTGATACATTTTTAAGAATTTTTTTTTAATTCTTTTTTTTTAATACTTTTATTTTCCAATTTAAAATAAAATACAGTAACATTCCAAACCGTTTGTGTGGATATTTACAAGATAGTTTCATTTGTGTACAGAGTATAGTAAAGAAATAGCGACATACATAAAAATGATAACAAAAGATACATTGAATTTAAAGCTTGTTGGTTCAGAAATTGAAAAGTGGCTGATTTGTAACATGTTTGCCAAAAGAATTGGTGGAAGAGTATAACGTATGGAAGAATAGTAGAAATCTAAGCTAGTTTGCATGGATTTCATCCCATTCTGTACAATAAACATAGACTAGTAAATACCAAACAAAAATGAATAATCATGAATAAAAGTGATAAAGCATCTACATGGCTTAACTCTTTTTTTTTCCCTTTTTTTTGTATTAATTCAATTGTTTTAAACATTTAAATCAGTAATAATTATTTATTTGATAGATTTTACACAGCATCAAAGACATGAACATCAATTGCATATATAATAATCAAATGGAGAAAATAAAATGGCATAAGAACTAGACTAAAATAAGGTGTGCAAACTAGGTTTCTCTTGACTGCTTAGTTTACTGTGCTTTGTCCTTAGCTGAGGAGTCAAAAGTTCACATTGTAGCCGCCCATGGACAGAAATAGAAACGACCTTGGGAGAAGTGTCTCTGCAGTACACATACTGATCCATCATTCCAAAACTTTCCATGACATAAAATTGACCCTTGGCAAAGAGGTCACGCTACCTTGAAAAATCCGCCAGTCCGGTTGAGTGGGGGAAGTGTGTGTGTGTGGGGGGGGGGGGGGGGTGAGGTGTGTATCTCTTTCTACCATTCAGGTTGTGCACTTTTAAAAACCTGGGAAACAGAAGACTGTTCTAATGTTAATTTACTTGAGGGCTGATCGAGTGATGTTTAGCTTGAGACTGTCGATATTAATTATGCATCTAGTTTATTTGCTTCTTCTGTAGTTCAAATGTTAGTTTCCTGTAAAAGTAGGATGTCAATATTGTGTTTATTTATTATGTTGTTTATATAATGTGTTTGTCCCTAGCCCCCTGATGTTCAATGTTGCCAGAGTTAGCATGAATTATTTGGGGTTTTCTTTCGAACATCTGTTTCTGGAGGGCTGGATGGTGGTGGTCTTTTAACGCCAAACTTTCCAGCCGCTGGTTTGCTATCCCGTTGGGCCCTGGTCACGACCCTTTGAGGTGGCTTTACTGTAGGTAATTGATTTTTACTTGAACTGATTGCTTGACTATATGACAGTTGACCTTATACCTTTGTTGCTGATATACTTTGTGAGCTTTTAATTTTCTTTAGCGGTTTCGTTATGTTTTCTGAACTAGTGTTATCTTGAAGAATATCATTTATTGTTTCGTCGACAGCATCCAAATTTTCTTGATTCCCATCTTTTTGAGACCCTGTTACTATGGAATTTCTGATCGCTATTGTCTCCATGGCTTCGGCCTCTATGGTGGTTTCTGTTACGCTTTCGTTAACTTGCTGTGATGCTGCAGTAGTATGATGTGCTTCAGTTTGGCCATCTACTCCAAAGGCTTCTTCTACCTCTCTATGCCTTGCTTCTCTAAGCATTTCATTTTGTCTTTCTCCGTCAACATCATAACTGTCCCAATGCTTTAAGAAATTTCTATTGTTACTTAGATGCTCCCTAACTTCTTCTTTATCATTTGCATCCCAAGGCTCAATTGCCCTGTACTGTCCATCTACTACCTGGACGCCGTCAAAAGCGCGAGTCCTCAAATGCTCACACATTTTAGGCAGGTGTCTGTCTGTGTTGCAGTGGCAACATTGCACCCTCCTCCCATTGAGGATTATAAGGACTCTGCTCTCCTTGTTGGCCTCATTTGTAAGTATAATATAGTGTGGCACACTCTCCATATCTTCTTTCTCCAGAGAGATGGTGAATTGGACCACATTTGATTGGTCTATTCTCTTAAATGTTGGTGTTGAGTCCTGACTGCTTATAGATTTCAGAATCGCCATTATATCATCGTCGCTTGTCTTGGAAGGCAGCCATTTCAGCATGCCCCTTTGCCCAGATTTATCGGCGTGGGTTATTGATATTCTCTGCACTCTGTATCTGGATGTTACCCCAGGTGGCAAATCTCTGTGAAATTCTTTTAGGTGCATTTTCTCATATAGTTCCTTTGATCTAATGGTTTGCACAACACAATGAAAGTAAAAAAAAATTTCCTAACACTAGAACTAGTAAAATAAGTGTTTAGTTTATTGATAGAAAAGAAACACTTTTGAATACAATCCTGGTTTGGAGCGTGTAAAATATGACTTTTTGAAATCACAAGTGTGTGAATGAAAGAATTGCGTATTTTTGTCACAATGTGCTAGTTAAGTTAATTTTAATTTAAAAAAACGTGTTTATCAAATTTATGTTAATTTTAGTGTAAAACTAGTAAGATGTAACAGACGCAAGATACAACTTTAAATATTCGAAACTTCAACAGAGTATTATCTCCCATATGTACATGAAAAATTTTCAAGGTAATTAACATAAATTGTAAATTCAAAAGTAATCAACGTTTAATTAACACAGAATGTAAGAAGAGAAATCGTTGTTAATTACTTAAATTAGATACATTTAAATATAAAAAGGTTTCAATCAGTAATACTTCTGCAAAATAATAATTTGCAATATTTAAGATTTCTAAATAAATAAAAATTCGACTTTAAACATTTACAAATTCTTTTATATTTTTTATATTCAAGATTGGTGTTTGTTAAGATGATAATTAATTTAAGTTACAATAAGAATACCAAATTTTGGCTTCCCTATTATTTAGAGATAAAAAAAATCAGAAAAAATGCAGGCAGAGCTATACTCCCAGACAAAGCCGCAAAAAATCAAGATATAAAACACAGCACACATACACTATAATACTAGAGTGCGTGATACAGTGATCATTTAAATAGATTCACACAAAAAAAAACCATAACTGAAAACTATGCCAACGCAGAAATGAAATAATACAAACACTAACACTGTTAAAATTTGATGTATTTTGTGGGGGGAAAAATTGCTACAATGTACATAATAATATATTCATTCTTTGTTTGAACTTGAACACCTGGATTCTTTGCACAGAAAATTCAAAACAATTTGAAAATGTAGCTTTGTGTGCAAATACAGTTGGGGGGGGGGGGGTTGACACTTGAAATTTGTATATCTTTCGATATAAATTATATTTTCGTTGGGGGAAGGGTGGTAGACGTTCTTCGGTTGGGGGGGGGGGGGGGGCGCCACGACCCTGAGTAGATGCCTTAAAGAATCTCTTGCCCCGAACTGATATTCGATAGTTAATGCGGCCCTCGGGCTGAAAAGTTTGGAGACCCTTGATTTACGCGATGAACTCTGCTTATTAAGACCTCTTTTGAAACTGCACGTTTCGTTATTAACTCATTAGATTTACACACGAACCATCACACGACTTACACCGATCAACTGCAAGTGGTCTAATCGAACATATTATGGACGACAAAACTTTTGGTACTAATGGAAGAAAATTGTGAACGTTGTCTTAATGTATTACTTTGTTGGTTCTTTCAACAATGGTTGTACCTCGTATACTATGTGGGTTTTATATTTTAAACATTATAGTCTATCATTGATCACATTGATTCTTAAACATTTTCAAGTAACAAAGCTGCGAATTTGCTGCTATACGTAAACAGACATATCTACAACCTAGAACTACCAATGAATGTTGCCCTAATTAAAGTTCAGTATTTTTAATATCTCAACAAACAGTGGCGTGAATTTGTGATTTCCGACCAGTTAAGTGGGGGGGAATTAAAAAAAAACCTTTATAATGAACACACTGGTTCTGTATTCGCAAATGACGAGATAGATATTATATGATCCACTCGTATAGTACGTCACTAATAAAATTAATAAAATGTAGTATTTTATATTATTTGATTTTATTAATGTACTACTCTAGTCCGTCAAGTCCAAGTAACATATGCAATTGGGATATTCTATAAAAAAAAAGAGTTTAGTTAAATACTTTCCGCAATGATATTTCGTTACTTTACAACATTTTGAGAAAGATAGCATTAAACATGGACCTAAACTTCGTACTCATCCTATAGTAGACGACAATATTAACACTAGACCCTACAGTCTCTGTGAGATAGGAGACACTATAACACAATATCAGCCGGTCTTGATATTTCAACTGATATCCAAACTCTCGGTAGAATCCTATAGCCGTGTTCAGGGCAGACTGTGGGATGAGACAAACGATGAACAGAGCTGATACAACTAGCAGCATCTTGATGATATTCATGTCCTTTTTGATCATCTTCTCCATCATTTTCTGGCTGGCGTTCGTTAGTTTGACTTTGTTTCCCGTTCGTTTTCGCATTTTAGCGGTGAGAATTATATTCGAGATGACAATTATGGTAAACGACGTATGCGGGAGGAATATATCTGTGATGAAATAAATGAAGCCAAATACATCACGTGGGTTGCCACGAAAGTGCACGCCAAGTTTTGAGCTGTTGGTCTCTGGGAAAAATCTCCAGTCTAAATAGGTCATGTAATACACAGGTACCAGGTCAAAGATTAGTATCACGTAGACACACACTACAATAAACAAAGAGACTTTCCGTGTGATGATAAGTCTAACTTTAAAGGGAGCGAACACACACAAGCACCTCTCGACGGAGGCGAAGGCTGTGATAAAACCACACACTCTGACGAAATAATTGTGTGGGTACACCACCACAGTTGCCACGAAATTCATCTGAACGATTGGAATATCAAGCTGCATGAACCATGAGTTCAACATGATATTTGACATCTGTAATGTCATTAGTGAACCAATGTCACTGACCGCGATAGCCACTAGAGCTATGTTAATACGGTCCTTAAATCCTTGCTTTAAAAACACGAAGATGTTGACAATGTTACCTATTATTCCTACAAGACCGATAACTGCACCAAAGATGAGAAAGTTGAAGGTTGTGACTATTTCAAGAACTATTTTAGGTACAGGCACGATATCAGAAATTTCTGCACTTTGATTTTCGTATTTACTCTCTGCTTCTAAAGATACTGTGCCATCCATATTATCCTTTAAAACTACAATATTTTTTTAAGATTACTTTTCAAATGGTCCCTTTAAAATTATTATATAATAAATAGTAATACTAAAACAGCCGACATACACATCTTCATATTATGAAATAAAATATTTATTTAACGTTGAGACTAGATAAAGGAGACTACTTGGTTTGTATTAACGCTATAGTTTTACTGCATGCTGTAGTCTTGTAATAAATCAAAGCCCGTACTTCCTCTCTAACATATGCTAGACACTATACTTGATACAACTATAACTTAGATACATTTTGTAAAGTGTTTTTATCGCAAGTCCCATTAAAATCAATTAGTCTGATCTTATGTTTTATAAAGACTTTGATGATTATAGACAATTTTCGTTTTGAATCAAAAGTGTAATGTTCTAAGAGTTACGCAAGACTAAAACAAAAACAGACGATTTATAAAAAACTTCCTTTACATTGCTATGTAATTAACGTCTTCGTCATAATTTAAGGGGAAAAATAAAATTATTCAAAACTACAGTAATCATTGACTTTTCAAAATACAACCAACATTCAAATCGAAAGTGTATATTTAAAAAGTAAAACTAAGGTTTATTTCTTTTCTCTCAAAGGATAATGAGAAGAGAGTCAATTTTTTTACATCCACTATGTAATTACAAGACGAATAGTTTCTCGTCGAGAATATAATAACAAAATGTAACGTCTTTTTTGGGGGGAAAAATGAGACTTAAATCAATAGATAATTATAAGCGTAAGATAGAAAAAATGTTGTAATTTTTATAAGAGATGCTTTCTTAGTAGGTTAAGCTGACTGAATTGTTTGACACATAAATGTTTAAAAAAACATTATTTAAAGTTAGGGTTGAGCAAGATGTCAGAGTTTTACAAAATCAGAGGTCAAATGTCAATGAACTTTAGCGTATCTTACCACAAACCATCAAACTTTAATGTCAAATCTACCTTCAACTAATGTATCACGTTCTACAGGTTTGTGTTAGATTCAGATGTTTTAATGTGGAGCGTTAAAGTATTCATTTTAAGTTGTTGTTTTTCATACACGTAGGCATATATCACAAACTAATGAAACAACTAGAAACGGGACAAAATTGTAAAATTTATGTTCACTTATAGAACAAGCAAAATGTTAGAAAACTTCAAAACAAAGTTTTGCGAGAAAGTTAAATTTTGTTTCAAGTTTAGTAAAAAGAAACATACACACAGTGCATTATCACATTTGCGTCAGTCTACCAAAATTTTGACGATTCTGTAAATTAGGCGAAATAAAAGTTAAATACAAAAATCTCAGTAGACTTATTGTAAGAATGTTTAATACAACATACATTATACAGAAATATTTTTAAAATTGTGAAAACTTATCTAAATAATATTTAAATACAAAATCTACAACATAATAGATAAACGCACAATTTAATTTAATAAAATTTTCACCGAAAAATTAAAAACCTAGAACTCTAAATTCCACACAGCCATACACAAACTTCATATTTTTCTACTTTTAATACTTTTAGTGACATTCGTTTGATTATTTATTGTAGGCCTACTCTCATTTAATGTGCTTTAAACAGGGACACAATAGAGTCGATACAGCCACTTGCAACAAATACCGTTTGCCTAAATAGCCGATACATCAAAATCGCACACCCCGATTTCTTATTTGTCGCTTACTCTGTCCCAAACACCCTCTAAAGTCAACTTGATTGAATTATACTTTATTGTCGCTGTTTTTTAAACTTTATTTTATACATTTAAAGAAAACAAGCTAATCGTATAATGTGATAAAATAACAATATAATAATGATGTACGTTTGTTTTTAATGTAGGCCTACTTATTCTTGTTTTTTTTGTTTATTATTAGTCTAAACTCAGACGAGCTTTTAATATTTTTTCTGCTTCGTTTCCTTCCCCTCTAGAGTCGGCGCCCAGGGTGGCGACACCTCCGCCCCCCCCCCTGCTACGCCTCCCATTTCTTGTTAAAATTTCCAGTATAGTGACCATGGGTTACCATGAACTTTGCCGTTTGCACAAAAATACGAACTTCTTTAAAAAAAATTGAAAAGAAAGATGAACAATGTCACTGTAAGTTACCTCTTGTAGAAAACAACAAAATAAACCTTTATATATATAATATCATATATATATTTATTTCAATAATTATATGTATATATATATATATATATATATATATATATATATATGTATATATATATATATATGTATATATATATATATATATATATATATATATATATATATATATATATATATATATATATATATATACGTTGTTTTAGCTGGACAAATTGATTCCAAACAAAAATTACATTGTTCATCAAAATAAAATAAAACCATATTACAAAAAGTTGTAGCATATTTTTAAAACTGCAAATAAAAGCATAGGCTTACATACCAATAAGAGGCCTTCGGGCACATAACTACGAGATATAATATTAACAGAATTATCATTTTCTTGATGTCATATTTCCATTAAAATTCCCTCTTCCTGAAGTGAAATTTAAATGATTGGTTTCTATTCTATAGAAAGACGGGAAAATGTCTTCAAGTTGATCATACTTGAAAATTTTATAACATTTTTTTTTATTCTAAACTTTATTTTACTGTTTTCCTTTTTTTTTACTGTTACTCAGAAGACAAAAAATCAAAGATTTCCATAAATTCAGTTAAATTTTTTTTTAAATAATGTTAATAGTTAGGTTAAGACCTGAGTTAGATTCCTGTTGGTTCACAAAAAAACTGTTATACCGTTCTGTACGGTGACTGTTAGTCTACACCTACACGAACAATTTCAATTTTGACAGCGGTATTTCGTAAACTTTTTTTATACTGTGGGCCTACATATTTTAGAAATGAAAAAATATCAAAATATGTAAAATGTAACATTGATTATTCAAGAAACGATGGTGGTATCGTCCATTAACTGACAAGTACTTTACTATTCTCGACTAAGCTACATTTGTATAACAAAATATTAAACTGAACTCAAATAATCGTCTTTAGATCGAACGAGCCGTTGAGCAGAAGAAGTAGTTCTTATGTTTCGTCTTTTAATAATAGCAGTGTAGTAATTTTTTCGTCGTTTTTACCTGCAACGCTGAGGGCTCGGGATAAATTTGCCAAGCGTTAGAAACATGTTTCTAAAGTTAGAACTCATAACGTAGTAGACAAGAAAATTAACGCTGGAACCTACGGTCTCGGCAAGGTAAGCGATGCTGTAGACTACCGCCATCAGGTCCTGGTACTTTAGCGTGTAGCCAAGCTCGTGTTTGAAGCCTATAGCCATGTTGATGATAGACTGGGGGATCAGGCACGTAATGAACAACGCTGATATAACTAGAACCATTTTGATGACTTTCATGTCTTTTTTTATAAAGAGTTCCCTACAAGACTTGATCGCGTTAGTTAGCTGCGTTTTATTTTCAGCCCGTCTTCTCATTATACTAGCTAGAATCAGATTTGAGATTACAATGGTGGTGAACGTCGTGTAGGGGAGGAATATGTCTGTGATGAAGTAAATAAAGCTGAATACGTCACTTGGGTTGCCACGAAAATGAACTGCGAGTTTTGAACTGTTGGTCTCTGGGAAAAACTTCCAGTCTAAATATACCATGTAATACACTGGCACCAGATCCAAGAGTACCATAGCGTAGAAACATATAACAATAAACAAAGAGACTTTCCGTGTGATGATAAGTCTAACTTTGAGGGGAGCGAACACACACAAACACCTCTCGACGGAGGCGAAGGCTGTGATGAAACCACACACTCTGACGAAGTAGTTGTGTGGGTACAGAGCAACTGATGCAACTAAGTCCATTTGTACGATAGGGATGTCAAGCTGCATGAACCACGTGTTCAACATTACATTTGACATCTGTAGTGTCATCAGTGAACCGATGTCACTGACTGCGATAGCTAGTAAAGTGATGTTGATGTTGTCCTTAAATCCTTGCCTCATAAAAACCAGAATGTTGATAATGTTACCAAAAATCCCTAGAAGTCCTAAAACTTCTCCTAAAATAAGAAAATTCAACGTTGTGACAATTTCAAGAACTATTTTTGGCAGAAATACTGACGAGGACATTGCCGAACTTTGATTTTCGTATTTACTGGGAGATTTTAAAAATATTTGATCAGCCATGTTAACTTTTGAGAATGCGAAACAAATCAACTTAATTTAAATAAATATTTTTTGGTAAAGTTCAAGAGATCACTGGTATTGTGTTTGAAGTTATTGTTCTGTTTAATAACAATATTATAGCAGGCAATATATAACTCTTCACCAGACAAAGTAAAATATTTTAGTTAGCCTGGAGCCTGTTGAATCTAAACTATTTGAATGTGCTGTCTAATCATTGCAAGCCATAGACAAAACTAAATATTTTTAAACATAGACATGTATATAATATTAGAGAGAATTATATCTAGTTATTCATAATTATGATGTCAACTTATTTGCTTGTTCTATTAATTTATTATGACTAAAATAATGGTCGTAAGCTGTCGGCTTCAAAAAAATAAACACATTACTAAAAATGTGTTCATCCTTTATTCTGAGCCTATATTTTTTTTTTTTACATTTTTTTAACAAAAGTAAAAATCATTCAAAATTATCTTACTATTTTGTGTGTTTTTTAAAATCCTACAGACAGTAAATTGGAATAGGCCTATGTGTATTTAAAAAATCAAACGACAATGTCTACCTCAAATAATGTTTTCTTAAGAAAATGTATAAGCCCTTCAATTATTTAAACAAACACTACGTAATTACTCTTAGTATAATTCTCTTAGTTGTAAAGTTATTTTTAAAAAGATTTATTATGTCTTTATAAAAATTATACTTCTATCAAAGGCTAATTCAATAATTGCCGGTGTATATTCAAACAAAAGTTGTAATTTGATAATAGTTGCCTTTCTTTGTCAGACAAGATTTATATAGTGTTTTGATTAGATCGATTACGATAAAATAAACATCATTTTTTGTTAAGATCGATTATGATAAAATTAACATCTTTTTGTTTAGTTAATTTGTTGTTAACAGTAGAGATTTACAAACTATGGCGGCGATGTGTTGTAAATGTCATGAAATTTAGCATAACTTGCAACTAATGAGTTGCTGTCCCCAGCTCATGGTAGCTAAACTACAAGGCAGCAGTTGTTTAATTTGAGAGTTATCTCTCCTAGATGGGTTGTTTAATTTGAGAGTTATGTCTCCTATATGGGCTGTTTAAGTTATTTCTCCTATATTGGTTGTTTAATTTGAGAGTTATCTCTCCTAGATGGCGTGTTTAATTTGTGAGTTATCTCTCCTATATGGGTTGTTTAATTTGTGAGTTATCTTTCCTATATGGGTTGTTTAATTTGTGAGTTATCTCTCCTAGATGGGATGTTCAATTTGAGAGTTATTTTGAGCCTCATCTGCAGGGGAAGGGGGGGAGGATCTAATTCGGAATACCATGAGCTTTTCTTCCCGGCCAAGGTAAGACATTATAACATATTGAATAAAACGATATATATATATATGTATATATATATGTATATATATATATATATATATATATTTATATATATATATATATATATATATATATATATATATATATATATAAATATATATATATATATATATAAAAAACAAAACAGCGGTGATGTTAAAGAGTAGGAGACAATGCCAAGCTATGTTTAATTTTATTATGAAAAAAACATGACACACTACATTTCTTTCAACCTACTCAGAATGTGTGTCTGTTCCTGCACTTTATTTACAATGTATATCTATCGGTTTCACAATCTACTCACAATTTATGTCTATCTGTTCACTTCCTTCAAGTATCAGTTCAACTCAGAAACATGTAAAAATAATAATTATAAACACAGTTTTAGAAAATAAGACTTAATTTGACCTATTCCTCTGTGCTCCTTTGTGGAGCATAGAGGCCTTAACCATACCCTTTCATTATGTCCTGTCCCCGGATGTTAATTTTGCATCCTCCCAAGACATCCTGTCTTCAGTTCTTCGAGAAGACTCTGTCTCCAGGACTGTTATAGTCTCCCTCAAATGGTTGGATGATAATGTTGATTTGAGATTAAATTGTGAGCTGTAAATGAAGTGCTGATGTGGGATGGAGTTTTGGTGGAGGGTAGTGTTTTTGGTGGAAGGTGGAGTTTTGGTGGAAGGTGGAGTTTTGGTGGAGGGTAGAGTTTTTGGTGGAGGGTGGAGTTTTGGTGAAAGGTGGAGTTTTGGTGGAAGGTGGAGTTTTGGTGAAAGGTGGAGTTTTGGTGGAAGATGGAGTTTTGGTGGAAGGTGGAGTTTTGGTGGAAGGTGGAGTTTTGGTGAAAGGTGGAGTTTTGGTGGAAGATGGAGTTTTGGTGGAAGGTGGAGTTTGGGTGGAGGGTAGTGTTTTGGTGGAAGGTGGAGTTTTGATGGAAGGTGGAGTTTTGGTGGAGGGTACAGTTTTTGGTGGAAGGTGGAGTTTTGGTGGAAGGTGGAGTTTTGCTGGAAGGTGGAGTTTGGGTGGAGGGTAGTGTTTTGGTGGAAGGTGGAGTTTTGGTGGAAGGTGGAGTTTTGGTGGAGGGTGGAGTTTTTGTGGAAGGTTGGTGTTTTGTTGGAAGGTTGGTAGATGGTGAAGTGTTGGTTGGAGGTGAGATTATCGTTGGAGTGTTGATGAGAAGTGGAATTTATTTGCGTTGTGGAAGTTTTCGAGCAAACATATCGATGTGAGGTTGAACTATGCTTGGGTCTCCAACGTCGGTAATGTTGGAATACATACAAATCACTTAAACAAATATAACTTCTAGCAAGCACATTATTGTGCTACCCATACATAATAAATTAAATACAGTTTTAACTAGATACTTATTATAAATGTTTACAACACAAGTGTGAATGTTAAAATATTTCATGATTAAGAAAATCCCTAAAGCACTGTCTTAGACACACATAAACACATATTTTCGTCCCTGGCATTAAAAAATAAATGTTAAAAGCGATTTATCTTACAAATGAGAGTCATACTTGCCGGAAAATCAGATAACTTTTTGGTAAGAATTTTTTTTAAATAAAATCAGCATTTTTTGTAATTGTGTTGTCTTTTATTGATACAAATTCTAAAAAGAAGATCGTATTTCATGTTTCGAAATTTTTTAACCTCTCTAGGATTTGCTTATAATCAGTGGCGTCACTAGGTCAGGTGTAACCCGATGCAGCTCTTCCCCCACCCCCACCCTCCACATAAACAAAGTATATATATATATGTGTGTGTGTGTGTGTGTGCGTGTGTGTGTGTGTGTGTGTTTGTGTGTGTGTGTGCGTGTGTCGGCCTACATAGGCTTATAATTTAAAAATATGCCATATAATTAATCATTAATGAAACTGGCAAAAAGCATTTTTCTTCTGCTTATTTTGCTATTTTTTGCCATTGTGTCACCCCCCCCCCAAATGGTGTCACCCGGTGCGGTTCGCAACACCCGCCCCGCCCTCGTAACGCCTATAAATAAAATGGATGGATTACAATTGTCGTCCCCAAACTCAAATCTATTCGCTTAGTGTGAAGTGCTGATTTATAATTTAGTTTTCTTTAATGCTACGATTACAACGTAATATAGGGGGCTACATAAAGTAAGAAATGAGTGTATAGACAAATTCGCAATCCTAAAGAACTTGTTTTATAATAATAAACTACTTGAGAAAAAAATAACATGACTAGTAGTAATCTACAAAAATAAAATGACTAGAAAAGTAATAATGAGCAAAAATAGTATGACCAGAAAAGTAATAATGAACGAAATTAAAATGACGAGAAAAAAAAATTTAAACATAAACAGATTTACTAGAAAATATAATAAGGCACAGGAATACTAGGACCAGAATAAAAGCAAATAAAGGGATAATGTGGTCAGCACCATACCCCCTTGCCGCCTTTACTTTTCTTAACGAGAGTTAGGTACACATCAGATCTGGGTGGACTCAGGGACGTTCCACGTACTTGAACTCGAATTCGGTAATGAGATTTTCGGGTTAGCACACTACCGCTTTGTAATTAATAGAAGGTATAGTGTCAGAGAGAAATATCGTGACTAGACAAAATATTATCAGAGAGAAAAAAAAACCTTATTTAAAAACAATACGAGACAAGAAAATGATTACCAGATAGAAAATAAACCACAACAATAAGTAAAACTTCTATTTTAAAAATATTAGATAGAAACAAGATGACTAGAAACAATAATTAAAAGTTAAAACCTTGTTGATTTTTTTAAATATTTTTCTTAACAAATTAAATAAAATAATAACAATTATAATATTTAAAATTGTATTTTTGTTTTTGATCAAATCACGTTAAACAGAATTATAAGTTTCAAAATAAAATTACCACTCAGTTATGTAACAGGATATGAGTTACCGGTTATAAATTACACATTTTACAAGTTACTTGGTACAAATAAAGGGGAAAAATGAACCATAACATTTGAGCCGATTCTAACACAAAAGTTCTGTAATAGTTTTCATACCTTCCTTATTGTCCCTAGACTGGGGAAAGGTAACCTTACTTTGCTTTAACATTCTTAACAAACAATAAGCCATAATCATGTTTCTCATATAATTCGTTAAACAAGGTTGGAACAGTTAACATTGTTCAGTGTACAAACAAATAACTCGGTTTGCTGATCATTTCTTCTTGGTTTTACACACAACATTGACAGACTGGTTTAGTTTTCCCAAGATTTTGAAACATAGAATTTAGCACGTTTCTAAATTTAGAACTCATCCGATAGTAGACGACAAAGTTGATACAAGAACCCACGGTCTCCGACAGGTAAGCCGTGCTGTAGAACAGAAGCATTAAGTTCTGGTACTTCCCTGGGTAGCCCAGCTCACGGTAAAAATCAATGGCCGTGTTGATGGTAGACTGGGGAACGAGGCAGGCAATGAACAGTACTGACACGACTACTACCATTTTGATGACTTTCATATCTTTTTTCACAAAGAGTTCTTTTTCCGACATTTTAGCGTTAGTTAGCTGCCCTTTGTTCCTGGCTCGTTTTCTCATTGTGAGCGATAGAATGATATTTGATATTACAATGATAGCAAAAGTTGTATAAGGCAACATAAGATCGGTGATGAAGTAAATAAAGCCGAATATATCGCTGCAGTTAGCACAAAAATTAACGGCAAGTTTTGTGCTGTTGCTTTGTGGGAAATATTAAAGTGTAAACATTAATAACAAACTATCACAATTTCTTGATTGTTACAAATTATATAGACAGTAAAAATATTCTTGTTCGTTTTTAAAAGATACAGTATATTTTAGATCTAGTTCTATATATTTTTCTGAAGATAATTGATACGCATCTCCGTCTTATAAACACATACTAGGTGATTTTCAGAACGATTACGAGATTTACTGACTTACTTTGGTTTATTTTTTAAAATAAAGTTAAGATGGACATTTTCTTTTTAAAATTACACCTAAATCTATGTTTAATTACAGGCGTACAGTCGAAGATTTGCTGCTACTTTAAATTACGTTTTTTTAAAAGTAGATCCAACTGAATGAATTGAATAAGATAATAGCCTACTCGTCGAATGTTTAGGCGATCTCAGTAGAAAGGAAATTCAAGGACACTCAATTTACATCATGTCTTTTTTTTTTAAACTTATTATTCATTTCAAATGGAAAACTTTTCAAAATTTCCATCTAATTTAATGAATTAACGCGAGTGCTTGTGGATACATGATATTATTTTATTCCATCTGGTACATAAATTAATCAGGATTTCCGACACGTAAGCTTGTTACCTATAGTTTTACAGGGACTCTACAAATCTAGGCCTATAAACAAAACTGACAAAACAATTTATGAGAGTTTCCTCAGCGCGCTACCGTATAGACGTGTGACTTGTATCACATAGGTGGTTTCTTCCAACCTAAAAAAGTCGACACCATATTTTTTTTAAATATTAGTTGCTGGAGCTCGGGTTTGTTCACGCTACAACCCTGATCTCACAGGGTGAACTGTATGTAAACCTGGAGAGTATTTTGATCAACCTTTGCAATCGGCAGGTAGAACACCCCTAGACGATCGGGCAGGTGTCAGGGGCGTCACGTGACGATTGTCAGAGCCACTGGGTATAGAACCGCTGGGACGCCGGCTGCACCCTCTAGTTTGGTTTAGTGATGGAATATAGTAGCCCACCGTTTCACTGGTGTAGAGTGCTCTTTAAGAGGAACTAGACTTACCCGGTCATCCCTTGGATAACTGTGGGTTTCGGGGGTCATCCATAAATGACATCACGTCTGTAACTTATCATCACAAAATAACCAGACCCCACATTATTCAAAAAGACGTTTTTTATCTTTTAAAAACACCGATTTCGGCTGAGCATAGGTCTGACCACACTATCCCTTCATATACTGACGTCACAGGTGACTCAACTCTACTTCACCTGCCCAGTATCCCGTCAAGTCTCAGACAACATTTTTTTATCGTTTAAAAAAACGATTCCGGCCTATTCTAGATCTAGATAGATAAATCACAAAGATTTATATCAAGTATTTAAGGACTAAAGAAGTTTAATAAAGAAACTCAAAAATGTATTATGATTTCAAAATGGATTGTATTTTTAACCAATTAATCTTTGGTTTGACCTAGATTCTAGATCTAGATCTATAAATAACTTTCTGGGACAGATTGTAGATCTAGAGACATTTATTGTAAAAAAATAAATGAAAAAGACAGTTGAAAATTGATATAAGTGTTGGAACGTCATAAAAACAGCAAACGGACGTATTGTTAAAGTTATAGCCGACAGAAAATTAGCTTTATAACGCGTTAAAGGTCTGAATAAGATACGAAATCTTGTATATACGAGCCGCCATTTATTGTACTTAAAAGTAAACAAATCATGTGACGTCACTATTCACTCGAAGTAAAGTCGTTTTTCTAAACTTTTAAAATTAATGTGGTTAATCTACCAATGAGAAAATCAATAAATTAATTAACGTCTTTAAATAAATGTGTGATTAACAGTCTGTATGAAAACAAAAATTGTTCTTTTCCTACATACTATTTTACAGCTCTATACATATAGCAGATTCTCTCCATTAGCCAATCAGACAAACAAAAAAAAAACAAATAAATATTCCAACGTAAACAAACTTGAGTTTTAGTAGTATAAAGATGTAGACGTCATTGTGTTCATGGGGGGTACCATAAGGACCGTTGATTCAAGGTATTTCCTCTCACCTGCTGTACAAGGCGCCCAGAATAATAAGAAAATGTATAAGAATAAGCTTTTAAATGCACTGAAAACTTTTTAAAAATGTATAAAACCTTCTTTCTATTATATAAAGCATTGCTCGTAAACTGGGGAAGAAAACATTGGAAACACGCAGGCATTAAATTAGTATAAAATTATCTGAAAAAAAACAACATTTAAAAACGCATTACAAAAAGCTAAGATACAGCTATGTTTAGTTACTTTAAATAGATTGTCAAGGTTCTCGAAGGGATCACTAATTTTCTGTTGGTCACAAAGAGTTGTATGCGACCTCACTTATCATTAGGAGTCTTCGATGGTTTGTTTTTAGTCTTTGCAGCCTCCTGAGATGCCGTTAAGGCTGACGGGAAATTTACTTACACTGCCGAGTGCATTATCGAGGTCCGTATAAAATATAGGTCATCTGCAGAACAATAAACTATCCTTTTTTCAATGTTGACGTAATTTTAAGGCTGCAAATACCCTAAAACTGTGAGCAATTTTTGCCCTATTTTTATATAGATAGAGTTTGATCAGAGCAGTTAAACAAAACAAATCAATACTTGTTTTGTTAAAAACACTACATATGTTGTAGGTGTTAAGGGACTTTTTTAGTATAACTGACAATCAAACTTATATAGCAAATAAACCTCCATGTTTGGTAAATTGTATAACATTCAAAAGTTACCAAAACATATCATAGCACGGATGAAGTATCATTGTCCACCCTTCATCACTTGTCAAGTGTTTGAATAATGTTTACTAGGTCCAGTTTTATTGATTTAGCTCAATTGTAATTCCAAATACACTACTTTAAGTCTGCAAGTATATTTCTCAATGAAATAAAGGCGGCAAATTGTAGCATTATTCTAAAAATGTATATAAATTGGCGAACTAACATTTCAATCAATTAATGTAAACTTCCCTTTAAGTTCGAACGATGCAGATGAAATAGAAATCATATTTCTTGTGCCCGGCATGTGGAGGGGTGGAGTGGTCAGCACTATGCCCAGCAACCGTTAAGTTCCTTAACTCGAATCAGAAACCCATCAGATCTGGTTTACGCAGCGACGTCTTCTTGGGCAAGCTACCAAGCGCTCTACCACACAACCACGCCGTCTCCGTGTTTACCTCTACCATACAAAATAATACTACATACAATTTTTAGATGCTATGTTTGTTTTGCAAAATTTAAAAAACATGGAACGAAATATATTTTTATATTTAGAACTCATGTGATAGTAGATGAGAATATTAACACTGGAACCGATGGTCTCGGTAAGGTAAGCCAAACTGTAGCAGAACAGTATCAGGTCCCGGTACTGTACGGCGTAGCTCAGCTCACGGTAGAAGCCAACGGCCGTGTTGATGACGGACTGGGGGATGAGGCAGGCAATGAACATCGCGGACACGACCAGAACCATCTTGATGACTTTCATATCCTTCTGGAACAAGAGTTAGTTAGCTGCCCTTTATTCTCTTTTCTTCTTCGCATTGTAGCGACGAGAATTAGATTCGATATGATAATTATAACGAAAGTCGTATGCGGAAGAAAAAGATCTGTTATGAAGTAAATAAAGTCAAATATGTTGCTATGGTTACCACGAAAATAAACTCCTAGTTTGGAGCTGTTGCTTTGTGGGAAATATTTCCAGTCTAAATATGTGACTAGGTACACTGGGACTAAGTCGAAGATTAGTATCACGTAGACACACACTACAATAAACAAAGAGACTTTCCGTGTGATGATAAGTCTAACTTTGAGGGGAGCGAACACACACAAGCACCTCTCGACAGAGGCGAAAGCTGTGATAAAACCACACACTCTGATGAAATAATTGTGTGGGTACACCACCACAGTTGCCACAAAATCCAATGGCACGATTGGAATATCAAGCTGCATGAACCATGTGTTCAACATGACATTTGACATCTGTAATGTCATCAGTGAACCAATGTCACTGACCGCAATAGCCACTAAAGCGATATTAACGTTGTCCTTGAATCCTTGCTTTAAAAAAACTAAAATGTTTACAATGTTTCCTAGAATTCCCATATTAAGTCCAAAAACTTCTCAGAAAATAAGAAAGTTGAGCGTTGTCACTATTTCAAATAACATTTTTGGCAGAATTACGAATTGAGGAATGCCAGAACTTTGGTTTCCGTTAATATTGAAAATTTGTAAAGAAATGTTATCGCCCATTATTAAATCTCAAGCTAAAAAGTAAATTAGATTTGAATTATTTTTTAAAGCTAAATTGTTAATATCTCAGGTACGAACGTTTATAATAATTAATCGTCTCCATATACTAAATGACCTACAATATAGGCCTACCCAAGTTTTTAAAGATGCAAATGTGGATAAAGACACCCTGCCGTTTATTTATTTTTTTAGTGATAAATTAAAATCAGTAACTCATATATCATAAGGTTCCCAGAAAGAACCGCAACGGAAAAAAGCGCAACGGAAAAAAGCGCAAATCAAAAAGCGCAACGGAAATAAGCGCACACGGAAAAAAGCGCAAAGAGAAAAAAGCGCACACAGAAAAAAGCGCAAAGAGAAAAAAGCGCAAACGGAAAAAAGCGCAAAGAGAAAAAAGCGCACACAGAAAAAAGCGCAAACAGAAAAAAGCGCAAACGGAAAAAAGCGCAAAGAGAAAAAAGCGCACACGGAAAAAAGCGCAAAGAGAAAAAAGCGCAAACAGAAAAAAGCGCAAAGAGAAAAAAGCGCACACAGAAAAAAGCG